CGGGTCTCGAACCCGCGGGCTCAGGCCATCCACTCACCTCAGCCTCCCAAAGGCGCGGGATGACAGGCTGAGCCGCCGAGCCCGGCTCCCAGGTACCCTTGTTGATGAGGTGTGCCCGTCCCCCCAGCCCCCGGCAGTTTCTCACTACTGCCAATCCCTTTCTTAAAGTATTACGATAGTTGTTCAAGGTGATAAGTCACTCAGTACTATAGATTCTAAGCCCCTTCTGTGAAGTTCATACTTTTGCCCTTTTTATGGCTGCATAATATTCCATCATGTCAATGTACCACATTTTAAAAATCCAGTCCTCTTTCGATGGACAGCACAGTTGGGTCCATGTTCTTGCTACTGTGAACAAGGCTGCGATAAACATCCGTGTGCAGATATCTTTTTTATAGCGTGACTTGAGTTCCTTCGGGTGTATTCCCAGTAGGGGGCTTGCAGAGTGGTGTGGAAGGTCAATTTTTAGAACTTTTGGGAATCGCCAAACCGTTTTCCACGGAGTTTGTACTAGTTTACACTCCCACCTACAGTGCAGAAGTGTCCCCTTCCCCCCGCATCCTCTCCAGCATCTGTTGTTTTTTTGAGTTCTTGATGATGGCCGTCCGGACTAGAGCGAGTGTGGCTTTGACGAGCATTTCTTTGGTGACTAGTGAGGCTGAGCATTTTTCTCAGGTCTGCTCGCTGCTCGCACGTCTCCTTTTGAGAAGTGTCTGTTCATATCTTTTGCCCACTTTATAATGGGGCTGTTTGCTTTTTTCTTTCTGCACGGTTGAGTTCCTTGAGGATCCTAGATGTTAGGCCTGCGCCAGAGATACAGTGGGCAAATATTTTTTCCCAGTCTGTGGGTTGTCTCCTTGCTCTCTTGCTGGTTTCCTCCGCTTTGCAGAAGCTTTTCGGTTTGCTGAGGTCCCGCTCGTCTCTCTGTCATGGCACGGGCGCTGGGGGTTGATCAGGAGTTGGTTGCCAGTTAAAGGAAGCATTTTTCCATGGAACAAAGCAACTTGGTCTGTTTGGAGTTTCAAGTAAGGGTGTTTTTACGTTGATGACTTCGAGAGTCATGTTTGCGGTGGCCCTTGGGAAACCGGTCTGAGGGGCGCGTGCACGACGCC